ATACAACAGGCGAGTCGTGGACCGGCCGAACGGGTTTCGTGCAGCAGGCCATCAAGGAGGACGGCATCCGCGTGCCGCGCAACAGCGCGGTGCTGGTGTGCGGGCACCAGGAGATGGCGGAGGAGGTGAAGGAGATCGCCGAAAAGGCCGGCGTGCTGGATGGCCGAGTACTCACCAACTTCTAGTTTTGGAATGTTGGTGTCGTTTTTTGTGTCGCTCGTTTTTTTTATGTTTTGTTAAAACGTGAGAAAACGATGATGGCCTAAACCTCAGCGGAATTTTCCATCCAGCTCACCCTGCATTGGGTTGCCTACAGAGAGGGGATACGGGGGGGGGGAGCTGGGTAAAAATTTAAAATAGGACACGATATATCATCCTCCTTAGTGTTGTTACCGATGGCTGATGTAGCAGTGCACGGCCTGCGAAGCGTGATCGTCTTTGGTTGTAATGATAATGCGGAATGGGCGGAAAAGCGACGTGGTTAGATGGGCACTCCTGCGTTGGGTGGCAAGGCACTCTCTCGCAACCAGGACCGTCATTGTTTTCATGATTTTTTAGACCGAAGTCAAGGAGCTGATGGAGGCGCGGCCATCGACCCTGAGGTTGGGGCTAAGCCGGAGCACCAATCAAGTGCGCACTGCTGTAGTGATGGACGAAAGCCTGACGCGCTACGAATTGTAACAAGCTTAGATAGAGTTACCTCGTGCAGCAATTTTTCCCCGTTCGTTTGTGTTGGGATTGCGAGGAGCGTTGTTTTAGCCCGCGTGCCCCGCAATGGGGCTGATGTAGTCTTGTGGATCTTCTCCTGTTGCAGGCCCCGTGTTCGCAAAGCCCAGACTTGTCTTGACGCCCGTTTGGCGGAGGCGGAGGAGGCTCGGGGTTAAGAGGAAGGGGCATGACAAGCACGGGAAATAGATGGAGACTTCCCGCCTCAGTTTTGCCTTTGCCTTGTAGTTCTGCGGAGCGAGATGTGGACAAGAGGCGTCTCGGCGCGGTAAATATGGGTCGGTGCTGCTTTGCTGCCCCCCCGAGATCAGTGATCAACTTTTTTGTTTTTATCGGGGAAAGGCCACCATGCCTTGGGTATCTATCCGCCCCCCTGGTTGTGCTTATGCCTTGGAACAAGCAAAAGGCGCAAACGGGCAGGGCACGCTACCGGCGTTTTACGTCGTCGCTAGCTCGCCATGTGTCTACGATTGTTTATGTTTGGTTGGGTTGACAGGGCAACAAGAAGACTTGTCATGACACGGGTTTGTCAGCCACTTGTTCCTCCGCAACCGACTGTCGGAAGGTGCTCTGGTTCTGCCAGCTCTCCTGCTTCTCTCTTTGTTTGGCACACCTTGACAGCAGTCTTGAGGTGCTGCGAAGTTTCTCTGGGACATCGGAATCGTCATGCTGCATGAAAGAGGCCCTTCGTCTATCCTTCGATTTGCTCTATCGATTCGGGCCGTGTGTCAAGGACATTTCAAAATTGCGCATATGAGGGAAAAGAAGGGCGCGCACATATCGTGAGAATCAACCTAAGCAGCGGGCGGGTTCTCTTGCTTGCTTGCTTGCTTCTTCGAAAAGAACGACCCACAAAGGTGGGAAAAAACGCGGACGCCCGATAGGCCGTCTTCCTTTACCGTTCGCCCAGGAAGAATGGATATCCACAACTCGATCTGACGGCGGGTGTGTTTTGTCCCTAAATCTTGTTTCTCAAGCAAAAAGATGCTGCCACCGATGCCACGTATAGCCCCCCCTTCACTCTCATCCAGGTGAGCCGCGAATCACATCTGTGGGGGTGTGCCTGATTTCGAACAACATACGGAACCCCCTCCCACACACACACTCTGACAAAAAAAAGCACAGGAAGGCGAGCTCGTGCATCCTGAAACACGCGCCCATTCGTGCCACCCTAGTCAACCCCCCACCCTACCTCCCGCCCTCTGTGGCACAAAACTCGCAGGCAAGGGCCCGTGGCCGAGGGCAGCAACAGCCGTCGAGGAAACCTGAAGGGGATCAGCAACCACCGCCCTCCGTCAGCCACCGTGCGCCTCTGATCAACTGGGAAGCACGGTCATTTGCATCCGGGATGGGGGAACCGGGCGGCTTAGCCTCTTGTTCTTTCACGTGCGCTAACCACTATTAATAACACCACACCCACACCCACCACCACACCCATCGTATCCACCGACAACGACGATCATTGCACAAGGCAACCCGGGCGTTCCGTTGAGTACTGTGCCGATCCCCGAAACCCCTGCCAACGCGATACACGATGCACAATTCACTCCAGGCAGAGTGGAAGCGCTTCATTGGCAGACCCGCCCAGATGTTCACGTCGACCCTTGCGGAGCCCACTAGTCGAGACATGATTTCCCCACGTACGTTAGTCGTCACGACCACCTCAACCAAGGAGATCCGGCGCACAGGGCGATTAGTCAATGCCTCGGTACGTCAGCACCAATGCAGGCGACGGGACTAATTATGGTCAAGCGGGTGAAACCGACAACGGTGGGGTCTCTAGTTCGCCTTTCCCCGCACCCTCCTCCGCCGCTACTACCAGAAGCTCACGCGCTTGCTCGGATATGCCATCCGGCAGGTCTTCATTCTTCCATTGCATTATGGACCGCTTATCATCCGGACAACTGTTGTTGACGTTGTCAGTGCCACCGTCGTCCTGGCTCCCTACTCCTCGCCCTCTTCCGCCGTCCCCACCCTCCCGCAACCAGGAGGCCAGGTAGCTGGAAAGCATCACGGCCGGCGCGAACGCAAGAATTCGGCAAGCTTTGGCTCCCTCCGTAGCCTGTCTCTTCTTCATTGAAGTTGGAATTTTTTCCGGTTGCCGAAGCGCCGGCACATCGCTATCGAATTGCCCGCCACCACCACCACTATCACCATCTTCGTCGGCCTGCGGCCTACCGAAAGCCGCCGTTGTCCACAGCCAGCGAGCGGCGGCAGCCACGAGACCAAGGGGGAGCCACGCGGCCATGAGGACAGCGGAGAGAGTGACGGCCAAAGGAAAGCAGATGATATTCGGCACCGATCTTCGTTTTCCGTATTCCCGAACATGTACGTAGGTGTACCACCCGCGAGTTCGTCGTTCGTCGCCGATTATTTATTGTCCGTTGCAGAGGGGAGGGCGGAGGAAGGGAGGGAGGGGCAAACGGTGTTTGATGTGTGAGATTTATTGCCGTTGTGTAAGGTCAAGGGTAATCCTCATGTACGTGAAGTGTGTCCCGACCTCCTTCATCAGGAGTTTCCCACGGGCTGTTGAGTGTCTGTGCAAGATCCATAACGCACACCCCCGTACCTTAAACCTAAACGGTCCAACATGGATCACCGAACCGATCTGCTCACCTGGACGCGCCGCCAAAGGCGCTGCAGCACAGGCTGGCGAGCAGGGTTTCGACAAGTAAGCACACGCCGCGTAGTAGGAAGAAAAGCGGTCCCACCAAGAACACTAGGACGACCACCAGCGCTCGGTAGAGGGTGATAAACTCCCCTTCCCATCCCTGCCCGAGAGTACGCAGGACAGACCGGAGAAGACATCGCTCACCGCAAGCAAGAGATTGCCGCAAGAGCAAGAGAGACTGGTGCGGCCGGACCGAACACCGGCCCGTCTGACAATGCTGCAGTAGGCAGACTGGTACCTGAGACCCGAAGGACCGATTATTGACTGCATAACACCAAGCTATTGGCTGCATAGTCGGAAGTCTGGTTCTGCAAAGGTACACGTTTGCGCATCGCCTTTAGTCTCTACCAGCTATTTTGTTGTTTGTCTACGCCGGACAAACACGCGCAGTGACACACGACACAACCTCACCCACCTTCGGGTCCGTGTAGCGCGCGCCCGGACACCCGGCGACGTTCCAGCGACTAAAGTGTCGCACATGTCCGCGAGGAACGACCCCGCCGGTCGACACTGCGTACCCAGTGCCTCGCTCGCTCTCCCCTTGTCCGTCGCGCCCTCGGCCCTCCTTCGGATCGGTTCTAGTCCTGCGGTAGCCGCAACCGATGCCGCCGACGCCGCCGTCCCCGTCGACGCCGCCGCTGGAAACCACGTCAGCGGCGATCTCAGCGGTGGAGACGGGGTCCCCGCACAGCAGGCACCAAGCTTCACCGCAACCAAGACAAGGGACGAGGTTGTCGGTCATATTCGAGCCCCGGCGCCGACGAGCTGTCGCCGTCTCCGACGCTGCCGCGGCCGTTGATGTCGGCATTGTTGCCGTTGCCATTGCCTCATCGTTGGGGTCGACCGGCACCTTGACCCCGCTGCCGCGCGTTCTCTGACACCTGCGTGCGCCGCACGCCGGGCACGTTCGGTGACGAAGACCAGCCGCAGGTGTGCCCGCAGCGGAAGCAGCACCCTCCGTTTCTTCTTCGCCCCCCGCCCCCGCCTCCGTTGCTCTTTTCTCGTCAATCTCAGACGGATGCGCGGCTGACGCTGCCGCCGCCGCCTTTGGCGATAGCCCCCTTCGCTTCTGCTGCTGTTTCTGCTGCTGGCGTTTGTCGCGCTGCTTGCTTCGCCGTTGCTCGCTTTCATCATCGCCACCGGTAGCGGTACCGTCGAGGGAGGGGGTACCGCGGCGGTGTGGCGACCACATCGGGCTCCAAGCGAACCCTTTCCTCCCTGTCCGGCCGTCGCCCCCACCCGGCGCCCTTCCGGCGGCCATGGCAGCAGCGGCGTCGCGGGGGACGGAGTGGCGTTTTCGGCGATGGCTGTGGTGGTGGTGGTGGTGGTGGTGGTGATGGCGCCTTCGCGTTGATCCGCATGACTGACAGGTATTGTCTTCTTTGGCTCCAGCATCGGTATCTTCTTCGTGACTATCTGCTGCTGCGGCAGAAGCTCGTTGGGAGAGAGAGGAGAGGAGGGGGGACGGAGGGGACGGCACGTGCGGGCTCGACGGGCTCGACGGGCGCCGTCCACGGTGGCCGCATTCCTCGCAGGCTCCCGATAAGCCCTGTTGGAGGGTATCGGGGCGTTGGTGTTTGACTGAGCGGCCAGGGTCTCCGCAGATAACGTCGGACGCGAAGGACGTAGTGCCCTGGTCTGCGGAGTCTACCTATCCATGATAGAGATGGCATTTCGCACTGTTATCCCTAAAAATAACAACGATCTTCGGGTTGTTTCAACGTCCTCGTTACGTCGATGCGGTAGTCAGGCAAGAATCGAACGAAAATATTTCGGATGCGTCGCTTGCCGTTTCGATCCCATCCCTAAACCTCAGGATTCTCGTGAACAATTTGCCGTGCACCCTCAAGAGTAAAGTCTCTCTCTGACCTCGAGCCTTCTGCGGTGCTGCTCGTACACCTCGGCTTGGACGATGCGCCGCACGTCGTTCCTAGTGGCCGATGAGCGGCAGGATTCCTCCCCGAACTGCACGTGTGTGTGTCCGGTCGGTAACAACACGACCGAGACAGGAGAGGTGTGTATGTATAGGTATGAACAGGCCAGGACGAAGGGGAGGGGGTGAGGGGTTGGGGCTCAGAACGAACGGAACGGATTAGCGGGGGTGGGGGGTGGGGGGGCGCAGCGCGGTGCGTTCCGAAGAACAAGAAGCACATTGATCCAGGATGCCGCCTGTACAGAGCGAAAATTACGTCAGGTACGAAGTATCGTCCTATTTATTCATGGCTGGTTTCATGACCTCATGTCACGGGGATACGTACCTTTGGGCAGGGGTGAAGAGAGTGATGCCCGACCATGATGCGTTGAAAGAGGTAGTCTTCCAGACATGCCTGAGTTCACGAGGATGGAGCGGAAACACAAGGCGAAAACATCATGAGTTCAGCGTGCCCCTGGGATTCAGGCGCATGGGGGCACCGTGAGGGAGGTGGGGTGGTAGGGTCGCCGGGGAACAGTACGATCTTACATCACATTCAAGAAGAGAGGAAAGGAATGCCTCGGTTTTATGAACATATGAAACAATTCAAAACATCCAGACACGGACAGTATTGAAACGCGCGAGAATAGACCCCAGCAAGAGGGTTTGATACGTAGGTGTCTCAAGTGAAGACACATCTGCGCCAGCAAAATGTTGTGGAGCTCGGCATCTCTTCGCCTATCGCGCTTCCACCCCTCCCGTCCCGATACCACCTACCTTGCAAAACTCGTGGCTGCAACCCCCATTGCCCTCGAACCTGCGGCGGCTGGTCCCCGGCTGGTTTCTCATGCAATACGCGCAGTAGAAGCGCGCGATCTGAGGTTTGCGAGGAAAACATGGATTAAGGAGGTCCTCAGCAGACCTTCGTCAAGGGCAGAAAAAGCAAAGCTCGTCCTTTTCTGTGTGTAGAACAACGGATCGGAACTCCTCTGTTGGCACAGTAAGAATGCGAGAGCGACGAACAGTAAGTAGCGTGGTGGAGGGGAGGGAACGTGCATGTAGCTTTGGTGACCATCCTGGGAACCAGGGTGAACTGAAAACGTAGCGCAGGTGGGACGGCTCGGGTATGGCTAACCTTTAGGATTTCCTTGAACATCACGTCTAGTCTTGATACTGGACGGTGAAAGTGGACGTTACAAGTAAGACACGTTCACGACGCTCGACACAAGGGCGAAGTAGTAGAGCCACTGTTTTCTAGCGAAATTCATGCGGCTGCGTAAAAAGGAGACTCAGGTGCCCCCATCCGTGTGACGTTTGATGTTTTTCGGGCTGCGGGACGGCGTGCATGACGTCTTTCTTTGCGGATACCGCCAAGTGCACGTAGAGAGCACAAAATCACCTCGCACAGTCGCGATTTCTAACGACCCGATGTGCGAGCGTGGAGCCTGCATGTGTTCTGTGTTGCGAAGCAAGAGGACAGGGGAGCGTCGACAAACAAGCGCACACTCAACGTACGTGGCTTTAAAGCGCATGGGAAATCTTCTGTGGGAGCCACGTTTCGCTCGATGCAATCCGCACAAGAAGTATATCGTGCCCGACCTCGGAAGACGCTGCTGCTACCATACGGTACGAGAAGGTCTTGGATCTCCGGGGGGGTCACCTTAGAGCTGGGGATCCCTGTTCGAGTGTGGCTCTTGGGTCCTCGTCCTACAGACGGCTCTGGAAGGACTTCCTCGTCGGCAGAGGCGCACTGCTCAACGACGAAGTGGGTTAGGAGGTGCGGCGGCGAGGGGGTGGGGGTACCTGCCGTGAGAAAAATATGCTTGGGTTTTGACCATATGTCTCCGCAACGAGTGGCAGATAATGAAGGCACCTACTGTACGTACCTTGTTGATGTTCTAGCAAGCGATTTAATTGCGGGTTGCACACGGAGAGACGGGCACCTACCACCGCCACCACCACCAAGTGGATCGATGTGAAATTTCGTCGAGTGTTTCTTCCCGGCGGTGTGGTACAGCGCGCAGCTCCGGTACAAAGAGAGTGAGTTGGAGAGAAAAATGTCCAGAGGAGGCTGGGTCGATTGAGTGTGAGCCGTAATCGCTGTTCAAGAGTCTTCGGCACGGCTATCCTTGCAGAGACTGGAACCTCGCGAGAGTCTCTTGTGCTAAAGTAGCGGTTTGTTTTCCCCGTACACCTATAACATTATTGAGTTGTTGAATCCAGCAAGAGGTGCGCGCGATCCATACAGCACGTGGTGACGCTGAAGTTACCTGGTCTACCATGACAAATGCATGTACTTGTTGAAGGCCAACGATGTTTTGGATTGTTCGTTCACGCCTACAGCAGCAGTACCTCGTCGAAGAAAGTTCGATGCCTCCTGCGACTGCCGCCGCACTGCTGCCGTGGTGAAGAAGCACCCCCTGACACAGGGGTGACCAGGCTGGAGTCCAGGTACTCGGCCAAGTTCTCCGGCGGGAAGTATATAATCCCTCCTCCCTGCTTCTGCTCGAAGACGGCATATTCTTTGAGAAGCAGGTCTATCGCGTGAATCAATGTGTGTATGATGTTAATTGCTGTCGTTGGCCCTTGTTAGGACCAACCTACAAAGGGGTGACGACCCCTCTCCGTAGAGAGCATATGCATGTTGGACTGCTGTTGTCGCTAACCCTCGTTGCCTGGCTTCCCTTGTTCCCATTTATTTCCCAAGTTCCCTGCCATATCGCGTAAGCCCAAACCTCGAAAACCAGAACAATATCAGTCTTCCTGTCTGGCCTTCTTCCGTTTGTGTGCTAACGGGTATTGCGCCTACGGTCCTCCCCCCCCCCCCCCCCCCCCCCCCCCCCCCCCCCCCCCCCCCCCCCCCCCCCC